TTATAGAAAATTTAAATATATATTTGGTCAAGAGAATTATTTTAAAACAGTCCAAAAAGACTGTTACAGAGAAGCATTGTGTCGTTTAAGAATGTCTGCCCATTGTCTACGTATTGAAACTGATAGAAAATTCCATAATACACGCACAGAAAGAGTTTGTATTTTATGTAATACCAATTGTGTAGAGGACGAGTACCATTTTTGCATTATCTGTCTGTTTTACCAAGAGTTTACCAAGAGTTATTATTATACACTTCCCTCACCCGAAAAATTTATATCACTATTACAATTACAAAATGCAGTAATCTTGCGTAACATTTCTAAATTAATTTTTCTCGCCACAAAAAAACGTAATACAATTATTTTGGTCTGACAATTCATGTTCTTTTCATATTTTCTTGTTCTTTTTCAGTCACTGTGAAATGACATTGTCCTCTGTAACATGCTATGTAATTACAATGAGTATACCTTGAGGCCGGAGGCCTACAGTATTATGAATAAATTTATTATTATACGTGTTTGTAGGTTGTGTAACCACTGTTAAGAAGGTTGGCAAGGGGTATTCCGTAAGCTGTAAGCTATCCCCCCTTGCCCTCTACTGTTAATGTGTGAATGATCATCAAACGTGAAATATTCGGTAGAGTCAACATCGCGATTGGGGAATATTTAAACTAATCCCAACAGATTACGTAATGATGGCCAAACGTTGGCGTCAATATGACAGAATAAGATATAGGTAACCTAGGTAACAGACATAGAGCACCGATTACCGGTGCCTTGCTTTATCAGTGCATCCTTGCACGTTTATATAGTATAATAGTACGGCGCCCTCTAGTGACCAATTAGTTGAGAATTGCCTCTCTTCCTTTTTGCAAGTCTATCTCCAGCACAAGCTAATCATCATCTCCATGAGGTTCAGTCGTCATGGAAACTAATCAAGTAGTGAGTAAGTTAAATGCATCCTATCATAATTGTGTTTAAGACGGGTGTGCGGTAGATTAACTAGGATTTGGAATCAAAGTCACTTCATTATCTTGGGAACTATCCTACTAGGACTACACTCCAAATCTTATCAAGTAGTATGAAAAAATAGTCATTAGTATATAGACGAGGGCTTGATTTATCCTTGAAAATATATACTTTCTAGTATTTCAAAAATAATTAGACACGACCGAAGGATAAACACGACAATTAATTTTAGAGGTAAGTCTTGTGTTACTTAACAATGTTAAAGATCAATAAATAAATATCAATTAATACCTCAAGATTTGAAATTACAGTGGCTTTAAATATTGTGTTTTGATT